TAGCCTAGGAAAAGCCTTGTGCCGGTAGAGCAATGGAGAGTTTAGCAAACCATTGCTCGCTAGCTTACTTCAAACCGTAAAGGGACTTCACAAGTTTGCAAACTTAAGTAGGAACAGCAGACTTTAAAACCCGGAGGAAGGCACATATAAACCTCTTCATTAAGATCTCCATGTAAGAAGGCATTGTTGATGTCAAGTTGCTATAAATGCCAATGTTTAATAGACGAGACAACTAGAAGAGTACGTATGGTGGACATCTTGGCAACCGACTAAAGGTGTCCAAGTAATCAATCCTAGACTATTGGGTGTATCCTTTAGCTACCAGCTGAGCCTTAAATCTCTAAATGCTACCATCGGACCCGTACTTGATCCTAGAAACCCATTTGCATCCAATTGTTTGCTTACCAAGAGGTAAGTCCGTGAGTACCCATGTGTTGTTGGCTTGAAGAGCTTAAAGCTCATCCTGCATAGCAAGTCTCCAACACTCATGTTTAACGACCTCAAAATATGTTTTTGGTTCAAAGTTATGGGTAACATTAATTGAAAATATTTTGTGAGATGGACTAAGATGTGAATAAGAAGAAACAAGAGCAAGGTGATGAGGAGAAGTACCTTTGGAAGCAACAGAACTTGCAGTTGAGAGATGATTGGTAGAGCCGGCATGAGGAATGGAGTAGTGGTCATAGGCTTGTAGATAAATAGGAGTGTGCTTTGGTCTAGAAGATTTTCTAATTGGTGGAGCGAGGAGAGAAGAGGGAAAGGAATGAGGAATGACGGGAGGAGTAGCATTATGGACGGTAGGTATGTTAACGGTAGAATTATGATGTTCGGATGATTGAACAGGAGAGAAGTGAAGGTCAAAAGAAAAATCTAAAAAGGAAACAGAGGGTAACACAAGGTCGAACAAAATGGAAGAAGAGTTAGATTACATAGGAAAGATGTGTTCATAAAAGAGAACATCCCTAGAAACAAAAATTTTATGATAATCAAGATCTGTATAATTTGTATCCTTTTATGCTATAAGGATAACCAAGGAAAATACACTTAACAGACTCTCAGGAGCAAATTTTGATCTAGATTGATCAAGAGTTGATGCATAACATAGGCAACCAAACACTCGAAGATGAGAAAATCTAGGTGGAGTGTTGTACAAGACTTCAAATGGTGTTTTATTTGCAAGAATAGGAGAAGGTAATCGATTTATTAAGTACACAAGCATGCAAAATACAATCCCCCAGTAATAGTGGAAGGTGAGCTTGAAATCGTAAGGATCTAGCAATAGCCGGTATGTGTTGGTGCTTTCATTCCACCACACTATTCTCGTTGTGGAGTGGAAACATAGGATGTTTGGTGGATTATGCCATGAAAGTGATAAAATGTGAGCACATTAAATTCCCGACCATTGTCGGTCCCGATGCATTTACCTTAATAGAGAATTGAGTATTAACAAAAGCATAAAAGTTTTGCATCAACATCCTAGCCTTAGAATTCAACTTCATCAAAAACACCCATGTACATCGACTAAAGTCATCAACTATTGTAAGAAAGTAGTGATGACCCGACATAGTGGCTACTGGAAATGGACCCCAAATATCTATGTGAAGTAGTTCAAAGCAAGCGACACTAATAGATATGCTCACGGGGAAAACAAGCATTTTTTTTTTTGGCTATATGACATGTTTCACAAGGGGATATATTGTCGGCTACAATGGTAGAATCTAAAGATTAAAGACTTTTGATTCTAGGAATAGAAGGATGTCCTAATCGATTATGCCATAATATGGCGATAGACTATGAGAAGTAATTTGAAGTGCATGGAACCGAATTAGCTCGGCCACAAGCGACAAGTTCGGATCCGGAGAAATGATAAAGGCTTTGAAATTGTCTAGCTATACCAATCATATTCAAGCTTTTCAAGTCCTGTATCACACAAAAATCAAGTTTGAAAACCAAACAACAATTGGAGTCAAAATTTAGTTTAGTTATTGAAATGAGATTGTAAGAGAAGGATGGTGCATATAGGACATTATGTAAGATTAAAGATGATGAAAGATTGACGATACTGATATGAGTGATTGAAGCTTGTTGACCGAGTTGGTTATTTAACAAGCATATTAGAAATAGGATGATACTCGACTAAAGAATTTTAAGGAGCATACTATGTGATCAGTGGCTCCAGTATCCAATATCCAAGTTGATGAGAAAGTAATGGGATTAGAATAACCTAAAGACACCAATGTACTCGTCATATCGCAAGGAGAAAATGTAGTTTTGAGAGAGTTTATATGTACTTGGAGAGGTGATTTTGAAGGGTTGAATCAATTTCATTAACTTGATGTATTGTTCTTATGTAAGAAACACGAGTAGAAGGCAATACAATATAATTGTCAAGACCGCTCACAGGACGGGGATTACCAACGCATTCAAAACACTTAACATTGGGTCCGGACAGAGAACACTCGTAGTTAAGCTAGTAGTTTGGATTTGATGCATAGGACTAGTACCCTTTCTAGTTTGTCGATGAGCACTATTGGAACCTAAGTAAGAACTAGATCCGGAGGGTCCGTATCATGATCTATAACCGGGAGGAAAGCCATACTTCTCATAGCGGTATCTACCGCATGACTTTGAAGGCCACAATGTGAACATGTCGACTTATTAGATGAACTTCCAGGAAATCTCATAAACTTCTTCCGTGAGTTAAAAGCAAGTACGCCTCTCGCTCATAAAGACGGTTGATAAAGCTTCAGCATGTGATTTAGTTGAGAGAGATCCCATGGACATTTGTCTTTCTTGCTGAATGAAAAGAGAAAATACTTTGTTGATTTCGAGCAATGGATTAAAAATCATGATCCGTGATTTAACGAGTCGAGTAGTTCTCATTGAGTCCCTTCGGAAAACAAATCACGTAATCATTCATCCGGTAATCCTTCATAGCCTTCGAGCTCCACAATTGCAACGAGGATCACAAGAACAAGTTAGTACCGGTCTTAAATTCATCAATTATTCCCAAAGAATTTTGAGCTCGAATGAAGTATTAAGTTACGGAATCGGTACCCGGAGAAGAGCAAATATCTCATCTTGTAAATCTACAATTCTAAATGAATCACCATGAGAGAATCTTTCTTTTAAATCTTGCCAAACATCAACAACTGTGTCTAGCCATAAAATACTATGTGCGATTGATCGAGAAACCGAGTTAACCAACCATGAAAGCATCATTGTATTACACCTTTCCCAAGTAAGAATACAAAGGATCCGTTGTCTGCAGGAATCGATATGGAACCATCCATAAATTTATGCTTGTTCTTCGAAAGCAACGCCATCTTCATAGATCTTGACCAAGAATGGTAATTATAGTCGGAGAGTATAGGAGAAACAAGTACTAATGAAGAATTTTCATTAGCATGTAGAAAATACGGACTTGAAGCTTGATCTTCGTGTCCGGAAGTGGTATTTATGAAACATGTTTCGCCATTTAAGTATGAATTGAGAGTCGGTATGAAAGATTGAATTATATATGAATAACAACCGAGAATTACGCAAGAGAGAATGATGTTTGTTTAGTGAGAAAATATCATGTTTGTTTCTTGGGAAAATGGAAAGTAAGGCTAAAGCTCCACAAGAAAGAGAGAGAAAATTTTGAGTGGCAAAAAGGAAATTTGGGAGCATGGCAAAAGTTGCTCGATACCATATCACAAAAATATTGGAATTCTTTTTTCTTATTGCTTTAATTAACAAAGGAAGTCTTTTATACAAGAAACGAACAACTAGATTGAGTGATGCCGCTTAAGATTGCTAGGTAAGCATAATTGACTTAACAACTTCAACAACTAATTAACCGATAATTAATCGATTTAACCAATTTCTAATCTAATAACTCCACCGATTTTAGATCATAAATAAACCGTGATACTCTACGCAATATTGTAATTTCAAGTCTACTCCCAACCCATCAAAGTAATGGAAATTTTCCAGAATGAAATGATAGAAAACAAAATACTAAAGGAATAATTAACAAACACATGATCACAAGGTTTCAAATGAAAATTTCTCAAGGCCACACCTCAACTTAAAATTCAACATAAAGAAATGCTGATGCTTTCCACGAATTGGCAGTGAAACTCATGCCATTGCAAATGGAACAGGTGGCAATGTTAAGCTCCAACTCCCTCTCTCTAAATAGAAATTAGAAGGAAAAAAAAGCATTTAGAAGACAAAAAAAAAAAAAAAATGTGTCACCAAATTTGAAACGGCAGAATCAAAAGAAGTTAAACCATAAAAGGATTATCCTAATCGATCCTAATTTCACTAGAGACTCTACTATTGATTGCTACATATGGTATCAGTTCCCCCATTTCATTATCCCTTTAAAGATGTGCATGCATAATTAAGCATAAACAATTCAAATTCCATCGCTGTGATCAGTAATTTGCACTGTCAAGAAAATTAAGATGTGCACGTACGACATCACATTTAATTTATGTTTATAGTTTATAAAAGAAGTAAAAAGGAAAAGAAAGGAAATCACGGGACAGGAGAACATTAATTTAGAAGCGAAAGTCATAGCCATTTCTCTACTTAATTAAGATGCCTAGTCTTAACGACAGACGCCAAGGACATCAATATTGACACAGGAAGTGTGGACCGTCGTGTCACTTGAGCTTGCTTTGCCCGTGAAATAGGGGGGTTTTCTTTTTATTTTTTATTGTATTTCCAACTCGGGCTGGGTCTTTAATTCAATGGCTGTTGTATGCTTAATTGGGCCTAACTCTTTCAAGTTTTGATTGGAATAGTGGACCGAATGGTGGCTTTCTCCATGACCGATGAACTCACGAGTCACCACTCTCCATGTTGTTGCTTCGGGTTGTGAAAAGCGAGATGGGAAACTGAAAAGATGGAGAAAGAAAAACTGAATTAACGGATAAACCACCAACTTCCCTCGTTATCCTTTTTGCCTCTCTTTCTCGCAATCCAAAAGAGCCAAAAAAAAAAAAAAGATGGCCACTATCACCACTACAGCTACTCTCTGCTTCCACTCCCAAAACCCCGTCAAAACCCTACGGCCATTCTCTCTCTCAAATCTCCCCTTCTCTGTTTCCAAACCCAATTTCTGTCCTTCATTTCCTGCCTCTAAATCAGATAATGCGAACGCCCCTTTCAATAGACATAGTCGCTTCTCTTGCAACTGCATCTCCACAGCCACCCCCAACACAAATTACCAGGTACACCCCTGATACCCACACTCCTTGTTTTCTTTGGTTTCTTAGAAAACTGAAGACATTTGATTGTTTTTCTTGGCTAATTTGTTTCATTTCATTGAATTGAATAAATGGAAGACATGGAATTGGTCTTTTTTAAATATGATATCTATATGTGTAATTCTTTGTCACTATTTTTTAGTTTTGACCAACTATTTTCTTTTGTTAAATCTTTTCTTTGTATACTCTTTAACCATTGAGCTTGGCCAGAATCATATTCTAAATATGTAAATGTAATGCAGTTCTCTGATGGTTCTTCAGAAGTGGAATTGAGATTATCACTTGGGGGCCTAGATGTTCAAAGTTCCAGAGATATATTCGTGGATGCAGATGGCTCCTCCTTAATCGTGCGAGTAAAGCACTCTGGGTCGCTTGTCACTCTTATAGAAACTAATCAGATGTTTGAGAAAATAAAGCCTGCTGAAACAATATGGTTTGTGATGCTGAATATACATGGATTCGATTAGCTACAAGCAGGCTTTCCAATTATTGGTCTGATGCTTATTGTATTGAGCAGGTTTATAGATGATGATGAAATTGTTATTAACATGAAGAAGCAAGATCCAGATTTCAAATGGCCTGACATTGTGGAGTCATGGGAATCCTTGACAGCAGGATCTATGCAACTCCTAAAAGGGGCATCAATCTTCCTTGTTGGTGATTCAACTGAAATTAACCAACAAGTGGCTCGAGAACTTGCTGTTGGTCTCGGGTATCAATCTATCTTTAGCTTCTAAGGAAATACAATTGGTGTTGTAATGGTTTTCACATATCGATTTTAAACAATCATCTCACTCCACTTGGGTTTTTATCCCTTTTGTTGGCCTTGCATAGCTCATCTATCTGGCTTGATAATTCCTTTTTTCTGTTCCATTACTAATGTCATACCTGTCATCTTCCATAATGTACCTAGACAGCGGTTAAATTACTTTGCATTCTTCACTGAGCATTACTTTAGCAGCTATCCTTGGTTTGTAATTAATTATGTGCTAGCTACTAGACTACCAGCTCCTTCTGTTTCTGTAAATCATCACCAAAGAGTTTCATTTTCCTTTTGTCTTGGTTAGTTAATGATGGACTACATTGAGCCAAATTCCATGCCTAATCAATAATCATGATAGTAGGCCCTCGTATATCTAAGATAGTTGTAGAACTCTGTGAGTTCAGCATTTTCTCTCAGCTGTAAAGTTTATTGGTTTAATATGCTGTCAGGTACACACCACTTGATACACAGGAGTTGCTGGAAACATTTGCTAAGCAAACAATTGATTCATGTGAGTGTAGTTATTAACTTGGTTCTCTAGCTACTGGTTGATAGCCTTCAGAGCTCTTTCCCTATTTCTCTAGTCTAGAGATCAACACATACACATGTATACAATGTGAAATAGCTCTCTACCCCCCATCCTAGGAGCTGATAGTGTCTGAACATTTGCAGCATTGTTTAATTATTTTGTATAGATATTCAGATATATTTAGCTTAACATAGACATTAAAAAGGACAGCATAATTGTGAACCATATTGCTGCAGTTGCTTTTATTGCTAATGGGATCTTTATAAACTAAGCAAAAAAACTGTTCTTGCAGAACCAGAACCCAGCCAGCTAGATAAATGCTTTCCTCTCCTTAGGCACCTTCTTTCTCACATCTAATAATAAAAAGTATCTACTTAATTGTTTACTATCATTATTTCTGCAGTTTGCTTGTGAATAATATTTCTTAGCCACACACTATACCCTTTGTAAAGCAAAAAATCTTCACTGCTGCAATATACCTCATACTGTCAATTTAGTGTGATCAATTGACTTTCTAGACAGCAGTGTCCTTACTTGAAAATGCCTTATATTACCTATCTTGCAGTGCCTTAACGAGTGTAATCAATTCCAGGGGTGCTTGCTGAAGGCTCTGACTCTGTAGCTGAGGCAGAAAGTGCTATATTAGAAAGCCTGAGCAGGTATGGTAACTGGCGTGGTAAATTTTTTTAAATTAATATTTTTTTTTGCTGGGATAGTTTAAAACCTTATTCTTGGTTTGGTTGGTCTTGCAGTCATGTACGTGCTGTTGTTTCAACATTAGGAGGGAAGCAGGGAGCTGCTGCTAGGGCTGATAAATGGCAGCATTTTTATGCAGGATTCACTGTCTGGTTGTCACAGACTGAAGCCTTAGGTATACTTTGCTTAATCTTCTGCTCATTGCTAGATTTTAGATTGACAAATCTTATTGATGTGAATCATGCTGCCTAATGCATCATATTCTGGCAAAAATCTAACTTCTGGTCAGTTTTATAACTAGAGTAACCTTAATTTATATGTCTCTGTGTGTAAGTATACCTAAAGCCATACATCTTGGTAATCAAAGTCTAAATAGAAATCATACATCTCTGAGAGACCAGTAATTTTTTTCTTTCATTATCTTGAGAACTGAAACAATGACAGGAAGGATAGACAGGGAACTGCAACTCCTTAGCCATCAGTTTTGCCTATGTCTTTTGAAATTAAATGTAACTCGCTGAGTCTGCTCACATGCAATGCAGATGAGGATTCAGCAAAAGAGGAGGCTAGAAGGAATGTTAAACATCGCAGTGTAGCATACTCAAATGCTGATGTGGTTGTGAAGCTCCAAGGTTGGTCTGCTGATTATGCCAAAAGTGTTGCTCAGGCATCCTTGAGTGCTCTCAAGCAGTTGATTCTGTCGGACAAGAAACTTCCAGGTGCTCATCAACCACATTTTGTAACTCCTGCTTGTTTTTTCTTTTTTACTCGTTAGAAAATGAATGAGCTTATGGTTTCTTCAAAACGTTGGACAAAAAAGACCTGAAATTGGATGAAGTTACATCAAGTTTGAACTTTATATGACCTGATAATTTTTTTGTAAAGTAAAACAGAAAACCTATATGTACAATTCACCAGGAGACCTAAATTATCATTGTATAATATAGTTACGAATTTACAGTTTTTTGCCTCATTCATGTAATACTAAATGATGTTTGAGCGCATTGGAAACTCTGAAGTACAGGTTGGACAAGATGTTTATCTATAGATGATAGAGCAAAAGATATGCTTTACATTGGCCACCCAAACCACTTGCTGCTTGATAAGAAATGAGGAGTGCTTGTTCAGTGGAATTTAGAAAAGCATCTTAGCTGGGGCTAACATGAGATGACTGGAAAAGGGTGGAGGCAGGCATGCGGAATTTAACATGTTGTCATCCGTTGATGTGTTGGCTAGACAGGATTAGAAAGGCTAGATTAATGCTTTAGATTTATCATTTATTGCGTTTCAATTGTTTAGGCATGAGTATGGACTAATTGAAGTGAAGAAGAATTTTGGCTATTCCCTCAATTCATAATTCTTGATGCTGTGGCTTTTTGAAGGTAAGAAGAGCCTTTATATAAGGTTAGGATGCCGTGGTGATTGGCCAAACATCAAGCCTCCTGGTTGGGATCCATCCGCTGAATCTGAATCGACCTCCTAGTGTATTGCAGAGCTGATGTTGTAGAGTGAGAGAATTGAGACTGAATTTTTACTTTTTTTTCCTTTTCTTTTGGCATTGTTGGTAATTACCAAGTTATCTTTACACAAATCTTTGTATGGGATTATATATATTTATAACCGGTGTTGCAGCGCTATCAACTACTAGTTGGATTTTATTTATAAAAAAAAAAAACTACTACGACTTACATGAGTTTCGTTACAAGTAAAGAAATAGCTGAGTTGAGGGCAAGAAGCAAAACTAGTCAAGCATTTGAAATTTTACAACTTTACAAATCCTAGCTGACACGCGTATTGCGCTAACGTTGGCTCTGAAGTGAAGTTTAAAACTCTTCACTAAAGTACGGAAGTTCCCACGCTAACGGCTGAAAATTAAGCAAATCAACAAACCCGTATGTAAACCGGTAATGCCTTCTGTTTAATCACTTCAACCATCAATCTTCCGGTATTCATTCATTCAAATGTTATCTACCAATTTCCAAAACTTCGATTTCTCTCCACCACAGTATGGACGTCGCCGTACAACGGACACCCATTACCAAGACCAAGGCCGCCTTTCAACAACAAATTCTCAAGAAACTCTTCTCGAGAATGCACTCGGGCGCCTTTGCAAGTATTGGATGGTGAATGGGGAATGCCCATATGATGATCACTCCAAGTTTTTGCATTTTTGGTACCGTAAAAGGAGTACCAGTGGTGATGGGTGCTTTTCCATGTTGGCAAGGTTTGACTGACGAGAAGGCTGTTTGCGATATCGCCCTCCCTACTGGGTCTGAGAAGCTTTTTACTGGGAGTAGAGACTAATAGGATTTGGGACCACCTCTCTGGCAAGTGCAATCGGATCATCAATCACGGAGCAGAAATTAGGTGTCTTACTAGTGAAGGCAGTGGGGTTTTTATTAGGTTCCCCAATCTGTTTGGAACTTGAATGGAGAAAATGTTTTTCCTAGCAAATATAAAGAAACATTATTAAACTAACAAAGATTTAGTTCAGTGGTAAATTAGTTGGCCCCAAATTGTTAGTTTAGTGGTAAATTAGTTGGTATCGAGTGAATTTTTTACTAATCTACAGAACTTCGAATTTTAAATATCTCGAATAAGATTAGTTTTATTTTTAATATAAAATGAGTATAACAAGAGAGAAAAAAAGAACAAACAACATTATCAAATAATAAACACATGATACAAAGATCATCCGACCATCAAAATAGTCTTATCAAAATCTTGAGATAACTCAACTGTCTCGAGACATAAGGAGTTTACTTTCTTGAGATGATATGCACTATTCATATAATTTATTTGATTTAGTAAATCTAAAATATATTGCATATCGTCTCAAAGATAAAAAAAAACTCAGTCTCCTTACCGTATTTTAATAAGTTTGTCTTACTTGTAAGATTTGAAGCTCTAAATAAAATGACACTACTGTTACTAAAGTTTAAAAAAGAGAATATATATATATATATATATATAGTCTCAAAAATAAAACAAACTCAGTCTCCTTGTTATGTTTTAATAAATTTATATTACTTATAAGATTTGAAGTTCCAAATAAAATGGCACAACTGTTACTAGAATTTAAAAAAGAGAATATATATATATTGTAATGGAAACTAAAAAAGACAAGAATAAGGGGATATCTGTATGCATTCTTTTTGCTACGGAGAGCAAATGATTTTTTGTTGTTGTATCTGTTGTCTTAAATAAGTCCCGTATACATAGTGTAGAAAATTGTCCGTTGCACAAATGATTTAATTGACATATTGAATGCTTGAAACGGTAAAAATAACAAGAAAAGAAAGAGCCGTTTGTTAATTGATTAAAAAATTAAAATTGTTGTAACAACAACATTTTAATTTACCTTATTAAACCATGCATTGAATATTTTATTGTTATTAATATTTTAATAATAATACGTGTAGTATTCTATATTTTATATAAAATAAAAATATTCTAATAATCCCTCACTTATTTTTTAAAAAAATATAAGCCATATTTTTGGATAAAAAAATAAATATAATATATAATAAAAATACTAATAACTTGAACTCTCATTTAGTGTTTCAAGAATAATACTCTCCAACCAATAATGAACATTGTCTTGAACTCGGGTTTTTTGAAAAGAAACAAATATTATATCACGTATTTATATTCAAATACTTTGTAATGAGTTTCGAGCCAACATATTATGGTCTTGTGTTTGATTTCGACTTCTATGAATGTTCTAAAGAATTAATCGTGTTCTTATAGAAAGCGACTCTACTCCTTAACTCATTTAGATGTGTCTATCAAAAATGTTACCATAACTTTAATATCCCATTCAAAAGAACTTTAGACCACATATCAAACGTTTCCTCTAAAAAAAACTTAACATTTCTTTCGTTATAGGATTTATGCACTACACCATAGGAATGAACATATGAGTATTGTAACTCAAATATAAATTATGCATGTAATCAAACCACTCTATGCTTCTTCTTTTTAAATCTAGTTTTTGTGACCTCTAGTTTCTAAACGAGTATCTCGCATAGGTGATTTTTTTTTTTATGGGCTTAGTTTCATTTTCCTCGATGTATCATCTAATCCTTCGGTTTTAGAATTTTTTGTTCTTTTTTTGCTTTAGATAAAGCATAACATCCACTTATTTTTTCATTGGTTTTAATTTTTAGTCAATTTAAATTTCACCACACATATATGAGCCAATAATAATCATATTATTAATTATTTTTTGGGTCATCAATGTCATGCTAAAGCATGATAGCACCATTGTATTTCTAATACAATAGAAATATTGAACATAATCCGATGAATTGAATATAGACATTTTCTCGATCTCAACTTTCTAATGCATGTTTGACATCACTTTCATCTATACAATAAAAATGTCAATATTTAGTTAGAGATTTAAATTTCTCAAGTTATCATAAATTGTCTTATCGGACAATGTCATTATGATACCATTGTATCTTAATTGTATCGAAGAGCATCTCTTATTCTACTTATTAGATAATGTCATCAAAACACCATTGTATAATTCCATCATTCTCTCAACAATATATTTGCCAAAAGTTTCATAAGCATCATTATACTTTTTGTATAATAGGAATGATTTTGTCTAATATTTCATAATGATCGTTATATCTTTTTTATAATATGAATACTTTAATAAATATCTTCACAAGCATCACATTAAAAATTTACACGAAAAAAATATAAATAGCATCATGAGATAATTATGATAGGGTACATTAAAATATAAAATATTATTTTTGTATCAAATATTTGATGTAATAACATTTTTTTATGTATACCCCAACTATTGACATAATATATATATTTTAAATGAAATGGTATTTTTTATATGCCCTCAATATTCACATAATAAATTATTTTCTTGCTACTACTATAGACAAAGTGATGACATGAATTATTTATTATTTCATCATTAGCATTCATAATTTATTTCTTGTGGCCTAACAATTAACAAGATATATTTATTTAAAATAAGATAATAGATCAAATTTTTTATTTTTATATAAAAATAACATATAAGAAGTCATTTATTAAATCATGTAACTTGTCAATTTATCTTAATGATAATATGCTATTAAGATTATTATTTTCACAATTGTTTATATTGCCACAATCGAGTAAGGGAGTTAAACAATTTCAACATGAGTGTCATAAAAATAATTGACATTCAAAATACAATTGATCATAACTATATTAATATTTGACCTTTCAAGTCTTAATAAGTTAATTATGTGAACTAGTATTTTAGTAACAATTGATTTTCAAACATTCAATAACAAAAAATTATACGATAATTCACATTTTTTTCCTCCATTCTTTTAATTCACATTTTCCCTCCATTTCTTTTTAATCATGATTTATAGATTAAAAAACTCAAGTATGGACTATTGACATGGGCTTGCGAAGGAAACGCTCGGGAATGAGAGTCACCACCTAGCTAATTAGGAAGAACTAGGAAACCTTAAACAAACTAGTCCGTATAGATATTTGGATAAGGAGTCCGTTATGTATGAAGAAGATATAACATCATTATCATCCCATCCTACATGAGATAGGCTACACTGTTTGCATGTGAAAACAAAAATATGGTTTTACTATGTTATGTTTCTATACCTATTTGAGTGAATTTATTTTATCAAGATAAAATAGTAGAGTAATTCGAGATTCAAGCCGGTTCGAGGCCAATACCCATACTCAAAGGAAAAATGGTAAGGCGAGTTGGAATTTTAGCTAATCTTTAGCGAACATGACTTATATTGACAACTAGGTGATTTTTTAAAGATTGATAGCCTTTATTGGCACAAGCAGAAAGTCACTAACAACTTTACTCACATAGGTGGAAAATCATTGATGACTTCGAGTCATGAATTTAGGTAGTTATCAATAACTTCATCATATAAGTGAGAAGTCACCAACAACTTCATTTTACTCGAGTAAGAAATAGATAACTAATTTGGAAGCCACTAATGACTTCATCACATAAGTGGGAAGCTACTAAAGTCTTTATTTTGAATGAACAGAAAGTAAGCTAATTGACTTGAAAGCCACTAATAACTTCATCACATAAGTGAAAAGTCACCGATAGCTTCATTTTGAATGAATAAAAAGCAAAAAATTGACTTAGAAGCCACTAACGGTTTCATCCCCACGAGTGAGAAGCTATGAAAGCCACTAATAACTTCATCACATAAGTGAAAAGCCACCGATAGCTTCATTTTGAATGAATAGAAAGCAAACAAATTGACTTAGAAGCCACTAACAGTTTCATCCCCACGAGTGAGAAGCCATCGACAGCTTTATTTCAAACAACCAAAAAGCATGTAAAATGATGTAGAAACAACTAGAGGCTTTATCACATAAGTTAAAAGCCACCAACGACTTCATTTTGCATAAATAGAAAGTAAGCAAATTGATTTGAAAGCCACCGATGGCTTTATCCACATAAATGAG